CTTACTAATATTATAAATGCGAAAGTTCAGATGGATGTTTGTTAGAGTTTGTCGCCTAAAAAGCTGAACGTATTTCGTTGAAATCTGGTATAAATGTAGGGGATAGTCTGGAAGAACACATTTTTTTTTAATTCCACACTGACAGAGTCGCAGGCGAAAGCTATTGACAAATAAATAAATAAGGACTTTTATTGCCAAAAAAACAAGCTACAAATGAAATCTTACATACATCAACCTTAAAGCTAGTAAAAAAAAAAGAAAATGTGGCAAAAGGCGGCAAGCTCAGCTAACGCAGAGACGGCACATTCCGTTTCTGCGCTAGTTTTCAGCTGGCCTTTTACACACAGGTATTTACACACAAGTTGGGTAACTTAACCTTGATAGATGTTAAAAAAGTGAATAAACAATAAAAGAATATTGTTATATAGAGTGATTTTATATTATGGTTACAATAAAAGATTGTGTTTCAGTACGACAGCTCAGTGGCCTCTAGCAACAGTTTAACGAGCACGTCAACCACGCAGACCTCCACAGCCAAAGTTACCACCACGACAGGTATGTTTTTAAATGTTTTTTTATAATATAAGGTGAAAAACGAGCCACCAGTTCTCGACGAAATAGCGAAACAACTGCCCTTAGCCATCGATAAAAAGAATTACCCTTATTATCACACCGGCTCGCCCTTGCAATACCACGACCACACAGAAGACAGACGTCAAGTGGAAGCAATTCCGCGTACACTAATTAGTGTGGTTCCGGAGGCCCAATTTAAATCTGATTTCCTTCCCGCCCTTTTACTTATAAGAAAAATTGGGAAGGGAACGTTGTCTTGACTCTGGAAACAAGTACCTCAATTCACCAAAATGGCAAAGCGACTGCTGCCCATAGACATCCGCTATTGCAGATGCGTTGCCTTCCCTTAATGAAAGGAGGAGGAGACGCACATAAAGTGGGTATTTCCCGTTCCTAAGCGTCACCGCCTTTTTTCTTTTTTCCATTATTTTTATTATAAAACGACATTTATAATGTGGAGGTTATGTTTGTTAAAAACAATTATGTTGTACTGGAAGAAACAATTTTATTAATTATAATTATCAAACAAACAAAAAGTATAAAAAGTGTTGTTAATAATTTACCTGGAAGAAAAAGAACATTAAAAGCTAGTAACGGGATCTTTTGATTATATGAATTTTAAGTTATATTAAAATGCTTCCGATAATTTGACAACCAAAAAATACAAATGCTAAATACAGATTCAAAATAGCTTTAAGATGTATATTTTGCATCCCCTTTTTGCTTTACCACTTAGATCATCATCATCATCATCATCTCCTTATCCTACTCCCGTAGGGTCGGCGCAACAGGTGTTTGTCCTCCACATAACTCTATCATACGTCATCTCAGTCATCGCTCTCTTTTTGATCATGTCACCTTTTACATAATCCATCCATCTCTTTCTAGGTCTACCTTTACAGATGTACCCTTCCAAACTCATAATTAACGTTCTCCTTGTAACATGCGATTAATCCCTCCTCATAACATGCCCCCATGCTAACCTTTTACTCCTTACTTCTCTACTACGGGGGCTACTCTCAAACTTCCTCTAATATACTAATTTCGTATCTTATCCATTCGTGTTACCCCACACATCCGTCTTAACATTCGCATTTCTGTCACATGTAGTCTCCTTTCATCCGTTTCTTTTACTGCCCACTTAGATATATATATGTTTGTAATGTTGCAGTGAGTGGCGGCGGCGGCAGCGCGGCGAGCAACGCGGGCGCGGGTGCGGGCGCGGGCGCGGCGGTGTACGCGGGCGGCGCGCTGTACGGCGCGGCGGGCACGCCGGCCGCCTACACGTACGACGACCAGCTGATGCGCGGCGCGCTGCCGCACCACATGGTCAGCACACATACTAACATACTACTTACGGCCGGTTCACACATGTATGTGTAATGCATATGTGTGTATGCCAATAATAATGTACCGTCAGTATTACTAATAATAAATCAGTCCAGTACCAACCGCCGTTTCTGCGGTCGCCCATGATCATCTCTTCGTGCATGGTTACGCTAGCACACCCCTGGTATTCCGGACGTCGTATGCATACTACCTGCACAACCACAGAGCACAAAATGTTAGTACGTCTACCTCGCGAAAAAATTTTCGGGTCCACTATTCAAAAAAAAATCCTTGTCGCCAATGAATGTAGGGGTGTTAATGAAACGGCGGTTGGTACTGGACTGATTTATTATTAGTAATATTGACGGTACATTATTATTGGCATACCCACATATACACTACAGTATGAATGAATGAATGAATGAATAAATGAATGAATGAATGAATGAATATGTATTTGTCACAAAATAGAAATTACATAAAAGAACTTATTCTAAAGAAATGTCTCCGTTTTACTGTTCCGTTTTATCGTGTACGATTTTTTTTCGTCGATGGCGTATGTAGTTGTATAAGCGACTTCAACATGGCACACTAGTCTGTATACAGTAAAAAGTATCGTTCCTTAAAAAATTACATTCTGTTTTGTCATCGAATAGTGGACGACGGAACAATAAAAATATATGGATACGTCGAATTTTAACGGATAGGTACTGTGTGCAGGGTGTAGAAGGCGGAGTGATGCGACAGGTTTTGACTCGCATTTTCTATTGAACATTCATAGAGAACAGCGTCCATCCTTGTAGAATATCGGCGGTATACTGCGAGAGTTTTCTGTTCACACATAGGATTCAGTAATGACGGATCTGTTGCACGTTATACGGTTCCTGTGTGAATAGAGCATGAATTTATGTCGTATCCGTTAAAAACGTACCAGTAAAACGAACTCCCATGTTTGAACGGGCCCTTATCCTACTCACGTATACTCGGTGCGACATTTTTTTGTCACTGAATAGGACGCATATGCCCAAATTGGACCAAACTTTTCTTAAGTATACTTTATTACTGTAAAAACATACCTGTTAAGATTTTTATTAATATAATGTGAATGTGTTATCTTATAACGTGTAGAATTGTTAAAAAAAATATACATGCATATTCCCTATTGCCACTGTTTGCCTTGAAGAGGCCTTTACATCTTACTAATATTATACATGTAAAAGTATGGATAGATGGATGGATAGTTTGTAGCCTAAACTGATGAACGGATCTCTATTAGATTTAGCATAGATACAGAAGATAGCCCGGAAGAATATACTTTTCACTTTTAGTTTGGTTTAGATTATATCTAATTTAATAATAATTATTGTTTTTTGTATGATCAGGGCGGTTACTACGAGACTGGATATGTAGCGCGCGAAGGTACCTTCGGTCTGGGCGGCGGAGAGAGGTTCGGAAGAACGGACGCCGCCTCACCACAACAGGTATATTTTATATAATATATAGCTGTTGTCTGCGACTTCACCCTATGTTAAAATCCTATGTTACTCACAGATAATATAATTACCTTTCTAATAGTGAAAGTATTTTTAAAATCGACCCAGTAGTTTTTGAGCCTATACATTACAATCAAAGTTTTCCTAATTATAATATTAGTAAAGACATAATATACCTTCAAGACTATATAAAATAAATGTTATATTATAAAGAGGACAGATTTGTTTTTTTTTTATGTGTTGAAATGACTCAAATACTGATTCGGATCAGTTTCTCTGAAATCGGTTTAAGAAAGCAACAGTTATTACACAAAGTATGTTTGTATTGCAGGTACCAGCCGCACTACCGCCCGGCTACGCCTACATCTACCAAGCACCTCCCACAACGTACCAATATGGAGTTTACCCCACGGTAAGTGTTCTTAGTGTAGTTTTATGTCTCTAAATCTGCCAATAAACTATTCTTTCCTAGGAAATTTTTACTAGACAAAGTGAATATTAATGATATCAATAGTAGAATGGTTAAAATATATTGAAATCACATAGAAATTAATACGTGACAAGGACACTAGTTATTAAAAGTTGGAAGTTTCATACAATTTTGAGTTTTCAATCATCGATATCGATAATCGAATGTTACTTTTCTGAAGCCTTTTTTGGCCAGTACATTTATTTAGACAATAGTGCATACCAGTTGTATGGACTGACTGGCTGCATTTAGTGTTCATAGCGCTAATCCAACTATACTAGCCATGTGAGAATTAGGCAACAAGGTCCAAGTATGTATATTTCCGTATGTGCAGTACGGCGGC